CAGCCGGTAGTTACCCCACCAGTCCTGGTGAATGTCATCTATCAACGCCCCTGGGGACATGGACAATAATAATAATAATAATAATAATAATGATAATAGAGGTTGGCGGGTAGCTAGTAAAGTTCTAGTGATTGTTTAGTGGGAGATAGTAAAGTTCTAGTGATTGTTTAGAGGGAGATAGTAAAGTTCTAGTGATTGTTTAGTGGGAGATAGTAGAGTTCTAGTGATTGTTTAGTGGGAGCAGATAGTAAAGTTCTATTGATTGTTTAGTGGGAGATACTAAAGTTCTATTGATTGCTTAGTGGGAGATACTAAAGTTCTAGTGATTGTTTAGTAGGAGATACTTAAGTTCTTCTGGTGATTGTTTAATGGGAGTTAGTTTTTTTAAAGTTTTAGTAAGTGTTTTACGGCACCTTGCAACACAATAAGTTATTCATGACAAGGTCATATAAGTGCTGAAGATTTAGAGGTGTTACAAGAGAATAACAAACACAAAAAAAAGGAGGAGAGATTTAATAAGGACGATAGATGTTTGATAGGAAAGAAGGAGCAAACCACGCCAGAGCACCCGCCAACCACTGGGAGCTAGTAAAGTTCTTCGAGTGATTGTTTAGGGAGAGATAGTAAAGTTCTTTTAAGCTCTAGCGCTTGCCCTGTGGTCAGAGAGAGAAGTAACTGACCGTCAGGCGAGCTGCTTCTTTTTCCTTGATAAAACAAAAGGTTGGCCTTCAGCCTGGGGTTGTCTTCCTTGCCCTGAGAAGGAAAACCACAGATGTGTACATGTATAGAACACAGGTGTGTGTATGTACATAACACAGGTGTGTACATGTATATAACACAGGTGTGTACATGTATATAACACAGATGTGTACATGTATATAACACAGGTGTGTATATTATGTATAAATAACTATACAACACAAATGAGTATATGTAAAATAACTATAACACAGACGTGTATTTGTATAAATAACTATGTAACACAGATGTGTACATGTATAAATAACTATAGAACACAGAGGTGTTCATGTATATAACACAGGTGTGTACTTGTATATAAAATAACTATATAACACAGATGTGTATGTATTATATATGTTTTATATATATATAACTATATAATATAGATGTGTAAGTATTTTATATATATATATGTGTGTTTTATATATAACTATGTAACACATATGTGTTCATGTTTAATTTAACTTTATAACATAGATGGGTACATATACATATATATAATTGTTAAATAACTCAGATGTGTTCATGTACGTAACTTTTTTTTTGGTGAGTGTTTTACGGCGTATGAGGCCATACGAGTGTGCGGGACACATTAATCATTTTCGGTCCGGTAGGAAGGTGGGAATTAGTTAACACAGCAACGTTTTTTTTGTTTTTTTTTATAGTAGAGGGTTTTACGGCGCTCGCAACTGCATAAGGTCATATATGGGGTGGATGTCAACAGAGAAGTCCTTACAGGGAATCAGACTTATTCTGCTCACCTCTCGAGCTTCAACAGCACAAGGTCTGCTTCGACTATCAAGGCACCCCGGAAATAGCAGGTCACAAGAGAGTGACAAACATACAAAAAAAGTAAAGAAAAAATGATAATAGTAAGGATCAGGAAAGAAAAAGCAGCAGTTCCCCGTTGTAGATCAGGCACAGTTATGAGCATGACACTGATGAATCAGCCCATTTACAATTCTACTGTGCTTGAACAAGAAATGTCCCCCCTTTGGGAATGGCCTAAAGACACTTCAGTCAGTGGCACTGCCTCTGGGGGCACAGCAACGTTTAGATGGTCAGTTAACACAAGAACATTTGGACGGCCAGTTGACACAAGGACATTTGGACGGCCAGTTAACACAAGAACATTTGGACAGCCAGTTGACACAAGGACATTTGGACGGCCAGTTGACACAAGGACATTTGGACAGCCAGTTGACACAAAAACAGCAAGATTGTGCACGAGTTGTTTGTCTACAAAGTCTAAATCATGAACATATTCTCCCCCGGTGTTAAGGCCGTAGTAAGTTTTTTAAATAAAAGTTTTACGGCACTTGCAACACAAAAAGGTCATAAAAGTGCCGAAGATTGGAGGTGTTACAAGTACAAGGGAGTGACAAACACAAAAAAAAGGAAGGTATTTTTTTTTTCTGATAGAGGTTTTAAGGCGCTCGCAACTGCATAAGGTCATAAGACCACCAGAAGATTAGAGGTGTTACAAGAGAGTAACAAACATAAAAAAGAAGGAGGGGAGATAAGGACGATAGATGTTTGATAGGAAAGAAGGAGTAAACCACATCAGAGCACCCACCAACCACCCACGGGGCCGTAGTCAGCGACAGTACACACTCAACTGTGTTGTTTGAAAACAACAACAATAACAATGTCTTTACTGGGTAGCCATCCCTGTAAGACTGATTCCCTGTAAGGACTTCTCTGTTGACATTCACCCCTTAGCACTTTTATAGACCTTATGCAAATTGCTAGCACTGTAAAACCTCTACTGAAACAAAACAAACACTGTGTTATTTTTAAACAACAACAAGAACAATTCCCTTACCGGGTAGCCGTCCCTGTATGCCTGGGTGTCTCGGTCGCTCAGTCGCTTGGTCAGACGCCACCTCTCCGGTTCGCCTTTCGGCCTCTTGGCCGCCCTGGCGTGCCTGGAAGCCACGCGGCCACCAAAGTTCAGAGTCGTCTGCTTGTACTTCTTGCCAGCAGGTTCCCTCTTGTACTGAGAAATGACCCCGTCAAAAGTTGACCAGTAGTTGTCTTTTAGTTTTAGTAAGGTTTTTTGGTTTTAGTAAAGTGTTTTACGGCACTTTCAACACAATAAGGTCATATAAGTGACGAAGATTAGAGGTGTTACAAGAGAGTAACATACACAAAAAAGAAGGAGGAGAGATAAGGAAGATAGATGTTTGATAGGAAAGAAGAAGCAAACTACACCAGAGCACCCACCAACCACCCATTAGTAAGCTTTTACTGCGCTCGCAACTGCCTATAAGGCCATATATGAGCGCCAAGGGGCGGATGTCAACAGAAAAGTCCAAACGGGGAATCAGGCTTACTCTGCTCACCTCTCTAGCCTCAACAGCACAAAGTCTGCTTCCACTATCAAGGCACCCCCGAAATAGCAGGTCACAAGAGAGTGACAAACATATTTATAAAGAAGTAGAGGAAAATGACGATAGTAAGGATTAGGAAAGAAAAAGCAGCAGTTCCCTGTTGTAGATCAGGCACAGTTATGAGCATGACACTGATGAATCAGCCCATTTACAATTACAATTCTACTGTGTATAAGAACATATATATTTAATGTGCCCCCTTTGGGAATGGCTTAAAGACACTCTAGTCAGTAGCAGCACATTTTCTCAGTGAAATTATTAAAAACAGTGCAAAACTAATCTTGCTCGTTGTTTGATATCTTATCCTGCCCACAATACCCAAATATCCCGATGGTGGGATGCAGTTTACTAAAATGACAAGGGAAAAGGATGAAGCAACCAAAGTCTGAAAAGCTTTAAATCGCTCTCCTGAAAAAGTTAGAAAAACAGGGATACGTCCTTTGGTGTGACAGGCGACAAATTGTAGACAGAACATTGCCAACGTGTTCATGTGGAGTGACCTATTTCAAACAAATGTGCCAACTTCAAACAAATGTACCAATGCGTTCATGTGGAGTGTCCTACTTCAAACAAATGTGCCAACCGCATCGAGATATAAAGTGAAAACTCTTTTCAAAGCGAACAGAAACTCTCTTGCAACACCTCTTATCTTTCGCACTTATATGATCTTATTGTGTTGCAAGTGCCGTAAAACTCTTACTAAAACTAAACGACACGTGCTCAAGCTCGCTACATGCATCGGTGCTCTGGCTTCACATTCTTGCATTCATTCTTCTTTACACAAACTATTACAAGAGACGCTTCAAAACGACCTCTTTTGCGTTCTTCTCCGCACAAAAACTATTACAAATCGGGCAATAAACTCATATAATATATATAAAACAACAAAAAAGCATTCACTGGGGTCCCAAGTGAACTACAAAAGGTCACCGAATAAAATACAGTTGACAGGAATTAATGGCAAGCAAGTATCATCCCTTGGCACTATTGCATTATGTACCGGCTTGTCATAGACATATATAATATATATATATATATATATATACATATATATATATATATATATATATATATATATATATATATATATATATATAATATGTGAGGCAGCGTGAAAAGCGGAATCAGGCTCTCGTCAATTTTTGGGGATGTAGAGTTATTTGTATCATCTTAAAGCTTGTTCACTTGTCTTCATTTGGATGAAAAAAATATCCTTTTATCTTGAATACAAGTCGAAATATTTGCGAAGGAAGGAGGTGAGGGTCACCTGTTTTCAAAGGTAAAATTAATGAGAAAATGGCCGCCAAACATTAGTTATTTCCTTAGCTTAATAGTCCTTGGTAACTGAAAATTTTTATTTTTTGTGCATTTAATCAACGTTTTTCTGAAAAATCCACACAGAAATGAGTTCTTAACGGGCATGAAAGGTGTTGAGCCAAAAAACTTAAATTTTATAAAAATTCACCAACCTGCAGAAAAATGCAAGTTTCTTCACTTTGATTATTTTGACGAGAGCCTGATTCCACCACGCTGCCTCACATATATATATATATATATATATATATATATTATATATATATTATATTATTACCTCATCAGATTTATCATCCTTGGAGGCCATCTCATCTGTTTCTGTATCACAGTCTTCCTCTGAATCTGTATTGAAATCACCAAGAGAATATTTTATAGTTGGTCCTCCATATTGGTTCTGTACACTCTCAGCCTCAAACTCGTCCTGCCAATCCATGTCAGTTACTGCTTTGTCCAGGGAACAAGTTAGACCACTGGTAGTCTCGCTTACAGTGTCAACGTTTTCAGAATCTCTGGTCTCAGACTTATCTGGACAGTCTACCTCATTTCCTGTTTTATCGAATGAACAAGTTGGACCACTGGGGGTCTTGGTGTCAACCTTTTCTGAATCTCTGGTCTCAGACTTATCTGGACAGTCTACATCATTTCCTGTTTTGTCGAATGAACAAGTTGGACCACTGGGGGTCTTGGTGTCAACCTTTTCTGAATCTCTGGTCTCAGACTTATCTGGACAGTCTACCTCATTTCCTGTTTTATCGAATGAACAAGTTGGACCACTGGGGGTCTTGGTGTCAACCTTTTCTGAATCTCTGGTCTCAGACTTATCTGGACAGTCTACGTCATTTCCTGTTTTGTCGACAGAACAAGCTGGATCACTGGGGGTCTCGGTGTCAACCTTTTCTGAATCTACAGTCTTGGATTTGTCCCGGCAGTCTACGTCATTTCCCATTTTGTCGACAGAACAAGTTGGACCACCGGGGGTCTCGATTGCGTCAACGTTTTCTGAATCTCCAACCTTGTCACCCGGCTCTTTTTCCATCTTCCTAGTAACAACTGGGGAAATCACCCTGCTTTTACTTTTTATTTCAAATGGATTGTCTGAAATAATAGAAGAAAAAGACTGTCACTTGGCTGGTTCTCAAAAGACAATTTACAGTAGAGGCATCACAAAGATCATAAAAGTCTAACATGTAATACAAATATAATATTGACAATATTTGTATACATATTAATCGCAAATTCACGCTCAACAGCAACCTCTATGCGCTTTACAACCTATAATATTACCCCAGAGTAGACCAGATAGTGATAGCATTTTTAATTGATGAAGTGAACACCCAGAAACTTCACAGTTCATGTCGCTGTTTTTTTGGGGGGGGCTTTCTTTAGTTGCGTAACCGAGCGTGCGATACATCATGTAGAGCGGCTAAAGATTTTCAAAATCTCGGGTCGACGGGGAATACGAGTTTTACTTACTCAATTTTTATGTACTTAAAAATATCATACAAGACAAACAAGAAGTATCATGTGAGCTTACTCTTGCCAGAGCTACATTTTAAAATCCACTTCCACTTTCAAATTAAATACTTACAGGAAGATCGTGCTGTTTGAGATTTATCGGCCCGCAGAATGTGGATTTTCTCCGCTGGTGTGTGATGAGAGTTCCCTTCTGATATACCAGTAGCGCTGACCACAACGAAGGCTACCCTAGACGTCAGCAAAACATAGAAACTAAATATAGTTCACAAGTCAAGTCTGTTATAATACTCTATTGTATATAATTGAGAAAAAAAACGATAACACAGAGAGGTCAAGATAGACAGGTTTAATTAACTTTTAATTAATTAGTTGAGCATTGTTAGTTGTACTAACTCTTCAGCAGTGTTTTTAGACTGCTTGATATTCGTAATGATCTGTGTTCGCATTACAATGAATTATACGGGTATATAAATTAATTACAACTATGTAACAAAGTCCTCCACTGGGAAAACAGAGGCATTGCAAACTAAAAATTTCATTTAATTTACAATTTAGCCATCAATAATAACTACAGCTAGCCTGATTGTCTAGACGTCCTTAAGTACGGCTAGCCTAGCCAAAAAGTCTAGCCGTACTTAATATAGCCTGCCAGTCTAGCCATACTTATCTTAGGCCCTATTAACATTAGGAGGAAACAGGTCTCATAGTAATTATTCAATTATTCAGGTACATGCACTGTCAAAAGGCACCTGGTTTCGTCTCATACAAATACTTAAGGTAAGTTACTGCAAACTAAAAATTTATTTACAATTCAGTAGATCTCTGCCAATTTTTTTGGGGGGTCAGTCTAGCCATCATATTAAGAATAAGTACGGCTAGCCCAGCTGTGCTATATAGCCGTACTTCCAACCAGTCTAGCCTAGCCGTCATTAAGTATTAAGTATGGCTAGTGGCTAGCCTCTTCCTTTAAAATGTGTACTTGAGACGGGTGCATGGGTAAAAAAACAAAAACAATGCATTTTAGATCATCTAGATTCTATATAGTCTAGATCTAGATCTAGATCTACTTAAATTTAACTTTCACTTTCACTTTCGAGTTGGGACGAACGACGAAACATAAAAAATCAGTCAGAATGGAATGCCAGGCCAGTACATTGTCATTATAAATCTTAGCAGTTGGCACAGACTTCAGATTGTTAGAGAATAGGGGAGGAATCTAAATCTAGATCTAATCTACGTAATGAAAAATAGTAGTACCTAATAAATAGCAAAATAACACCTTTCAACGGTAAGATGTGCAGGTGTGCCAAGTCTGGTCTAGTCTGGCGCCATTGCCTTGTTTTATTTGTAAACATAGAGGCTTCTTTAAAGTAAAGTACTGATGACTGATGTTGTAAAATTACTCGGCCTGAACATTATTGCCAGATATGTTTCCGATTTAGGAGCCAAACGACCAATAATTTTAGAGCCAAATTAAATACAAATAGAACAGTTTTGGGGCGGAATATAGATCTAATTTACATGTATTTTTGTAAACACATTATAATTATGTCCTCTTACAGAGAAGTCAAAAATTCGTGTTGCAACTTATTGCCAAATGTCACCTGAACAATCGAAAATAGACTCCCCAGCTTTTGCACGTATGATGCATCAATTTGTCTCTGATCAATATAATTATTTTTGTAAACACTTTTCGCTGCATTCTAGAAAATTCCTTTAGGCTAATGTGTCATAAATTATGATACAGTATTTATTTAGCTTTAAATTGGTATGCTACATGAGTGGGCAGTGCAAGGCTACTTTGATTGGGTTATTACATTTTCAAGTTTCTTTTTGGACGCCACGCTGTATATGTGCAGAAAATGTGCAGGCTTTAAACTTTTAGGATCATTAACCTAATAATTGAGGTCAACGTACAGTATTCAAATTTGCAGGGAAGCGAGGCTGGTATAGTATACGTGGCTTTTGCTCTGGAAGTTTGCCATACTTTGAACGCTCAAAAACTCCACTTGTGGGTGTGTGTGGTTTTCGGGCTAATTCTCTCTTGGTTTCAATATTTCTTATTCCTAAAGTCTCAATATATTATGACTTGATGCCCAATGTGACTGCATGCTGCTCCCCAACTGGGTCAGTCAGAGCCCATAATTAAGCTCCGCAAATGTCGATGGATTTATGTTGAAGTCATTCGGAGACATTTTCAGGGTGTCTTTGTATTGCAGTTTTTCTAGCACAATTTTTGTGTGCCAACCTTATTCATAGAGCTATCCTGATTCCTTAAATTGAGGACAGTTCAATATTATATATACATACTGCCTTCGGGATTCTGAAATCAGGCATCTTATTTAAATTACGACATGCCAGCCCGGCCAGCGAAGTTGAATCCTATTGAGTTTAGAATCCAAACTCTAATATTTCTTTTTTGAGAACTCATATGTCTGTTATTTCTATCCTGCCATTTGATACTAAGAATTCTCTTGAGGCATAGCATAATAGTGATCAGCTTCAAGGCATGGCGGTTTGATACATGTTACACAGTCCAGGTCTCGCGTCATACAACAGAGTTGAGATCAGCACAATCATTGTCGACTATCAATTTTGTCTCTGTACGAATGCCACAGTCCCAAAACCCTTCCTCTGAGTCTTCAAAAGGATGCACTTGACTTCTTCATATTATTATGTTAAGCTATATAACTTTCTGCATCGATGCGGACATTAAATTTAAGTTATAGACATTGTTAAATATTTATTGAAGCTATCAAAATTTGTCAGTACTTTTTTAAATAAATTTTGATTTTCTGAGAGAGGATCTGGAAAAGAACTTCTGTCTTTGCCGTGTTTATTGAAAGTGGGAGTCCAAATACATGTACATGTAGTTTATCAGCACATATTATTTATACGTGGTTATATGGTGTGAAGAAATGCAGTCGAATATCGAGATCGGTGCACGGAACAGAGAAAGAGTTAAATCACGTCCTGTAATTTTATAAACATTGGCAATCAACACTCTTTGTCTTCTCTCTTTAACTCCCCCCCCCTTTTTTTTTGTTGCCTTTTTGTTGTTGTTTTGAATAGGCCTGTTTTAAAGCCAAAAAGAGAAACCAGACGCAATAATTTTAAAAAGCCAAAATTCCGAGATTTGGCTCTCTCCGGAGCCAAACTGACAACCTGCTGAAAAAAACAAAAACATGGAATCTGGAAGGGGGATAACTGTCTGTCTAGTTCTTGTGTTTACTTTACCCGACAAGTCTATGGATGTGAATATTTCCTAGATAAATCTAGGCCTATTATCTAAACGTTCCTGTTACGGTAAGATGTCATGTATCCTTTCCCCTCATTTTGAATTTTTTAAAGGAAATACTTTGAAACGGAAAGAGAACTGACTGAAATGAATACCAAGCCTATGTGAAAGTACTTTGAAGTGAAAACAAGACAGGCTGATTTGGACGATGCACGCACTCTGGCGTCTCTGGCAACTTCTTGTCAGCAAGAAAAAGAAAATAATATTTAGATAATCTAGAATCTAGATCAAGATTGACATCTTTGACCATTTTATTCTTTTTGTTAATTTTCTGAAATATCTATAATTGAAGGTTTGGGGGCCAAGTGAGTGAGGATAGCCATAGAGGTAGTCTAATTATTTCTGTGTAGTACAAAGACTCAAGTGAAAGAGGCCGGGTTGAAGTTTGTACGCTATGCGTAACGATCCCGTGACCATCATCTTGTCTAGTCATGTGACACCCGCAGCAGTCGCAGGAATAGAAGCTTCATTTTCGGTGTTTGTGGGGCTTACATTACTCTGTCTTTGTTGTTACCGATAAATACAGCTTCCGTGTTTCGGTGCTGGCTGTAAGTCAAAAGTAAGACATCTTTGATGTTATGAGATATTTATTAGACTACACTAAAAAGTTGTTTTGGTTAGGCGTGCAATAAAGACCTACAGGGTCAACCAGAATAGACTAAAGTAGGGGGCTAAGGACCGCTGTGTTGCAGCCTGTCACTTCAACAGTAGCAGACAGTTCTGTTTTATTTTGTTTAGGGATCACAGCTGATCGTGACTCATGAAGTTTAATGTTATTATAGTAATGAATTAATGTCATTTTATTTGTCTATGTTTTTTATGCTATGGATGATCATGAACTTATTATAGGCCTCTACTTTCTCAGTGAATATTATAAACTGTCTGCTGGAATCTGAGATTTGTTTTGTTAGAGCCTGACTTTGATTCTTGAATTTACTCCTTTGCTTTAGTCTTTAGTTACTAATCTACCTAGATCTACCTAACCGTCCTAACCTAGATCTAGATTAGAAATATTATTATGATTATTGTTAATTGTGTGTGCTTAGAATCATGAAATGGTACTGTGCTTAAATATGGCTCGCTTTGAAAGTATTGAGTTGTCAAGCTACCTTCCCAGTTGGGAACGTTTTCTATGCCTGGGGATTTGCTAGGGCTAGGGTTAACGTCTTTCACTTTCACTACTGTCTCATGCTCTGGTTTTGCAAAGCCAGTAAAGCCCCTTTCTTTTTCATTTTTATCTGTATGAATATTGGCTTTGACCGACCTATATTGAATATTGGTCGCAAATTAGTCTTATAATTAGAGTCCAGTAGTTTTTAAATATTTATTGATGGTTTATTCGAACTACATCACACTGCCTAATTGTTGTAGTTCTGTAGTTATTTCTGCGCTTTGTCTTTGGACCAACCTGGGGGTTTTAAGGGGGTAAAGAAATGGGGGCGGGGGCAATGTCATGAAGTGGTGGAATCAGGCACTCATCAATTTTTGGACATGTGAAGTTTTAATTAGTCTAGTATCACCTTAAAGCTTTCATTTGCATTGCTTTCAATGAAAGAATTACTTATATATATATCTTGATTACAGTAACAATGAGGTGGGGTCGCCTGGTTTCAGAGGTTAAATTAGTGAGAAAATGGCCACCAGAGTTTGGTTAAAATTACAAAGCCTCAGAGTCGGTGGAAACTGACAATTTTCATTTTTCATGCCTTTAATCAACGTTTTTCTATTATAATTCACACTGGAATAGGTTCTTTAAAAATGGACATAAGAGGTGCTCAGCTAAAAAAACACAATTTTGATTTAATAAAATTAAATTGCCAAACCGGCGGAAAAGTTTAAGTTCTTTACTTTCGTTATTTTGACGAGAACCTGATTTCACCACGCTTCCTCACATATTATTTTGTGTCACTCTTTGTGCTCTGAACTGCTAGTCAATGGTCATTGTTTTGTTCCCTGGGAAGTAAAGTGACTCTTGAGAAACAGTGAATTTTGCAGCATCTTGTATGATTAGATTACGTTACGTAACGGAATCATATTTTTGTCATCAGACTGGTTAAACAGACATCATGCATGTGCTTGCTTCAGCCAGCGTGCTCCTCTTGGCAGTGAGCAGCGTGTACTGCAACCTCCTGAGGTGAGACCTTTGTTCATTCATTAAATCATTGAATAAAAAAGGGCTACGTGTATCTTTTTACTCTTTTATGATGGATGTTATAATTATAAGATCTGTGGTATTGGGCACAATTAGTAGGCCCACTCCAAAATTTTTCTGAAATTTATTTTATTTTTTGTTTGTTACTCTGTTGTATAGCAGGTTCAAATTCATTGCTTCTTTAATGTCAAAATTCAACAAATGGAGAATGTTTTAATCATAATGAAATTGAGGTTAAAGAGGTCTTGGATAGTTTAATTGAACAGATGTTAGCCTCTCATGTTTAAAATATGCTTCTTGGGAGGTGGCTCATCTATGCCTGTTGTACACTAAAGGATGAGCAGTTTCACAAGAAAAGGCGACAGATCAGTAATCGGAAAAATTCATTTTGATTTAATATTGTTTCCTGTTCCAACGTAAACTGCATCGTTTGTGTTTTGATCTACTGTTTTGTACCTTGTTCTTTCTCCCCAATTTTCAGGAGTCTTGACTGGATTAACAGCGACAAATGATGTTGGGAGCAAATTTGGGTTTCTTATTTTTAATAATGGGATGTCTTAAAGTAGAATGAATTAACCTATTGTGGGTGCTCTGGTGTGGTTTTCTCCTCCTATTAAACATCTATCGTTCTTATCTTCCTTCTTTTTTGTGTTTGTTACTCTCTTGTAACACTTCTAATCTTCAGCACTTATATATGACCTTATTGTGTTACGAGTGCCGTAAAACTCTTACTAAAACTAAACCAACAGCTAATCTATTCAGTGTCTACAAATGTTTTCTATGTGGTGATAATCAGTCCATGGTGTGTTTTTCAGGATCCCCCTCCACAAAACGAAAAGTGCCAGACAGACGCTGGCAGAACATCAGAACAATGTGCAGGTCTTGATGCAGAAGTATAAGGCGACCAACCGTGTCGACAAAACAGGCTTCGAACCTCTCACCAATTATTTAGACGTAAGTTTCTCACAAATTGTTGAAACACTAAGGTGGGTAAGATTTATCGCAAGAACTCTAAAGTTATTTAGATACTTGTATATATTCGAAACAGCAGTACACATTGATGTTAATTCAGAAAGCAACCTTTTATAAATACTAGATGGTCAGAAACTTGTGTATCTTTTTTTCTTTCTTTGTTCTTAATGGTGCGTCTGACAATTTTCTTTTTAACTGTTTAAATTGGACTAAAGTAAAGTTGTTCCCGCATCCGATCCGGACATTGGAGATTGCCTTGTTAGTAAGACAACTTCCTGGGCTTTCGGCATATTGTGATAGGGTGGCCAGTTCCTTTCCATGCCGCCTTTACTTCCCCAACTCGAAGTCAGGTACCCATTACTGCTGGGTGGGCAGGAGGGGGCGAAAAAATCTGGGTCCGAACCGAGGCTCGAACCCTGACAAATTTGACTATGTCTTGAAATTGTCTACTTCCTGCCTCGAAGACAGAGCCTCTATTTGGGTGGTTGGTGGGTGCTCTGGTGTGGTTTGCTTCTTCTTTCCTATCAAACATCTATCATCTTTATCTCTCCTCCTTTTTTGTGTTTGCTACTCTCTTGTAACACCTCTGATCTTCGGCACTTATATGACCTTATTGTGTTGCAAGTGCCGTAAAATACTTACTAAAACTAATACAGAGCATCTATTATCTATCTATATCCCTATATGTAGCTATGACTTCTGTATTCACAGGCTCAGTACTTCGGTGTGATCGGGCTGGGCACGCCGCCCCAGCAGTTCAAGGTCGTCTTTGACACCGGGTCCTCCAACCTGTGGGTGCCTTCCAAGAAGTGCAAGTGGACGGACATTGCGTGCTGTGAGTCGCTGAATGTGCTTCTTCCTCTTGATTTGTTCATGAATGTGCTTCTTCCTCTTTATTTGTTCATGAATGTGCTTCTTCCTCTTGATTTGTTCATGAATGTGCTTCTTCCTCTTTACTTGTCGCTGAATGTGCTTCTTCCTCTTTATTTGTTCATGAATGTGCTTCTTCCTCTTTACTGTCGGTGAATTTGCTTCTACCGCTTTACTGTCGGTGAATGTGCTTCTACCTCTTTACTGTCGGTGAATGTGCTCACCTCTTTACTGTCGGTGAATGTGCTTCTACCTCTTTACTGTCGGTGAATGACTTTACTGTCGGTGAATGTGCTTCTACCTCTTTACTGTCGGTGAATGACTTTACTGTCGGTGAATGTGCTTCTCCCTCTTTACTGTCGGTGAATGTGCTTCTCCCTCTTTACTGTTGGTGAATGACTTTACTGTTGGTGAATGACTTTACTGTTGGTGAATGACTTTACTGTTGGTGAATGTGCTTCTACCTTTTTACTTGTCAGTGAATGTGCTTCTACCTCTTTACTGTTGGTGAATGACTTTACTGTTGGTGAATGACTTTACTGTTGGTGAATGACTTTACTGTTGGTGAATGACTTTACTGTCGGTGAATGTGCTTCTCCCTCTTTACTGTCGGTGAATGTGCTCACCTCTTTATTTGTTGGTGAATGTGCTTCTCCCTCCTCATGTGCCGCTCTCCTTCCTTACCTTCCTCACCTTCTGTACTGCCGATTCCTTTCTTTACTTCCACTTCTTCTTTTTGTCCAAGAAGTAAACGTGAACCCCCAGGGCAGTGCTGCTGACTGACGTGTCTTTTGACCATTATTATTATCATCATCATCATTATTATTATTATTATTATCATCATCATCATTATTATTATTATTATCATCATCATCATTATTATTATTATTATTATCATCATTATTATTATTATTATTATTATCATCATTATTATTATTATTATCATCCTCATGATAATATTATCGTTATCATCATTATTATTATTATTATCATCGTCATAATAATAATTATTATTGTTATTATCATCATCATTATAATCGTTATTATTATTATCATCATCATCATTATTATTATTATTATCATCATCATTATTATTATTATTATTATCTTTATTATAATCATTATTATCATCATCATCATTATCACTACTCGACAGTGCTGCACAACAAGTACGACAGTACCAAGTCGAGCACGTACAAGGCCAACGGCACAGACTTCTCCATCCGCTACGGCAGCGGTAGCCTCACGGGCTTCCTCAGCACCGACACGCTCACGGTGAGTACCGACAGTGTTGTGGCCCTCGCCCGGAGTACTTACAGTGCGGCGGTCCAAAATTTGGTGGCTTTACTAATTCCTCAAATGACTATCTTTTTAACGGGTGAATCAGTGTCGCCTCTACGTTGCACAACAGTTTGTATCACTTTGTCTTAAAAACTTTATCGCCTTTTTGTACTATAATTGGGGCTAGAGTAAAAAATAAACTTTTTTCATAAATTTATGTAAAGTACTGTAAATCTCCTTCGTGCGGGAAATGGGATTGTTCACAGCACTTTCCACTTTTCACATTCAGTTTGTATACGCGTATATGGCCTACGTCACAGCTCGCCAATGACACTAGTTTGGGGTAGGATTTTCACTGTTTGTCGTGTGGGGTTTTCACAGTTTGTGTTAGCATTATATTATGGGATTTTCGCAGTTTGTGGTTGTAATGTGAGATTTTCCCAGTTTGTGGTTGTAATGTGAGATTTTCACAATTTTTGCGGTAGGAATGTGAGATTTTCACAATTAGTGGTTGTAATATATGGGTTTGTGGGATCTTATTATTGACGTATCCTTGTGATGTGCAGGTGTCGGGTCTGTCGGTGAAGAGCCAGACATTCGCAGAGGCGACGTCTCAGCCCGGGATTACTTTTGTGGCGGCCAAGTTTGACGGGATCCTGGGTCTGGGCTTCGACACGATCTCCGTGGACAGAGTTGTCCCCCCGTTCTACCTGATGGTGCAGCAGAAGCTGGTGGCCAAGCCCGTGTTTTCCTTCTACTTGAGCAGGTATAGAGGAAATTGCTGTTGTGCTCCTCGTCTCATTTTCCATGCAGTTACGCTCCTGTGACTTTTCAGATCTTTTTATTTTACACAAATTAGGCTCAGTGTGACGTATGTCATTGTTCTTTTATTTTACACAAATTAGGCTCAGTGTGACGTATGTCATTGTTCTTTTATTTTACACAAATTCTTTGCCATATCGACAGACCGAAGGGCTAGAACCCAAATGGCCGCTGGATCGGAAAAGTAAAGTAGAGTAAGCAAAGTTGGTTCTTATGACTGCTGAAGTTTTTCCTGTTCACAAACTCGATTCTTGTAACAGTTCAAATCCTTCTGATACTCGAACCCAGGTTCTCTGGACGGTTGAGGTCCATTTTTTAAAACTGGAACCAGGTTATGGGGAATAATTGGGTCCTCTCTTTAGTAAGCTAGGTTCCTCTGACAGTTGAGATCCTTCCTTTACGTGAACAACTTTTTTGTCACGGTTGAAATCCTTCATTTACTTTAACTACATTGTTTTGGCAGTTTAGTGGGGCTGTTTTCATAGTAGCAGTCAGAAGTAGGTGAAGTAAGGCAACGACTAGACAAAACCCAGGGTTGTTGTTATTTTTTTAAAACAGAACTATGCTGCAGTATTGATTGATAGCTCAGCTACTGTGTGTAAGAGCGGAACCTATGGAATGAGAGGCAAACTTTGTATCTCTAGTCCACTAGAGCCTCCCAAAATTTATTCTCTTCAGTGAAGCTTCTGAAGGATTGAGACCTACAGAGTCGAGTTATTTTTCTGGTAATGTTATCCAACAATCATCACACAGACAAACATACACACACACACACACACGCACTCACACACACTACACACACACACACACACACACTACACACACACACACACACACACACCGGAGATTACTTATTATTTTGTTTTAATCTTGTTGCTGATCTGACTTTTTTGTTTGTTTCTCTGTTCAGAGATCCCAATGCCACGGAAGGAGGGGAGCTTGTGTTTGGGGGCAGCGACCCATCGTTGTACGAGGGAAACTTCACCTACGTCCCGGTCACACGCAAAGGGTACTGGCAGTTCAAGATGGACGGGTGAGATCTGCCACTTCTTCTCGTACTTCCCTGAGAATTTTAATTTTTTTTCTTCATGTGATCAACTGTGCTATTGGAGTATGTGGGTGGTTGGTGGGCGCTGTGCTGTTGTCTGTCGGTGGCCTAGTGGTTAGGCTTTCAGACTCGCAACCGTAAAGTCGTGGGTTCGAATCCCGTCAGGGGCCCGAAGTTGTGCCTTTGGTTAAGGCACTCGACACAGATTTTCCTCACTCCACCCAGGTGGAGACGGGTACCCGACTACAGACAGAGAAAAATCTTGTCAGTTTGTTAGTGTGGTCTGTTCAGGGATGTGATATCCCACAGTCTCCCTTGATTCCCTGTAAGGACTTCTCTGTTGACATCCGACCTTTGGCGCTTATATGACCTTATGCAGTTGCGAGCACCTTAAAACCTCTACCAAAACAAACAAAACATCTATCGTCCTGATCTTTCCCCCTTCTTTTTTGTGTTTGTTACTCTCTTGTAACACCTCTAATCTTCGGCACTTATATGACCTTACTGTGTTGCAAGTGCCGTAAAACTCTATAAACTAAACTAAATCTTGGGCACTTATATGATCTTATTGTGTTGCAAGTGCCGTAAAACTCTTACTAAAACCGACAACATTTTGTTCTGGCAATCATCGCGGACCTTGAATGACCTCTGAACCTTTTCTTTGACGGCCAGAATGACAGTGGGGAGCACCAAGTTCTGCAGCGGGGGATGTAACGCCATCGCAGACACGGGCACCTCTCTCCTGGCCGGCCCCACGGCGGAGGTGGAGAAGATCAACGCTCTGATTGGTGCCACCAAGTTTGTGGGAGGGGAGGTAAGCCAACTCCGCAAACGATGACTTCCTCTTCTCAGAGGCCACTATGGGTACTATTACTATGACCTTTGTTTTTGTTGTATTTGTTTTGTTTTTTGTTATTGTCTCTTCTCCTCGCTGTCTTTCTGTCTCTTTCACTTTCTTTCCAAGTCTCTTTCTTTCTCTTTCACTATTTTTCCTATTCTCTTTCTTTCTTTCTTTCTTTCCCTTTTTTTTTTCTCTTTCACTTTCTTTTCTAATTTCGTTTTTTCTTTCTTTCTCTCTCTCTTTCTTTCTCTTTCACTTTTCCTATTCTCTTTTTCGCTCTTTCTCTCTCTTTTCTCTTTCATTCTCTTTCTTAATTCCTTTCTCTCTCTCTTTCCTAATCTCTTTCACTCTCATTCTCTTTTTTTCTTAATCTCTCTCTCATTCTCTTTCTCTCTCTCTCTCTCTCTCTCTCTCTCTCTCTCTCTCTCTCTCTCTCTCTCCCTCTCTCTCTCTCTCTCTCTCTCTCTCTCTCTCATCGTCCCTCTCCCCCTCTCTCCCCAGTACCTAGTGGTGTGTGCCAACATCCCCAAGATGCCCAACATCACCATCAGTGTCGGAGGTCGGCCGTTTGTGCTCACCCCAGAGGAGTACGTGCTCAAGGTCAGTTCTTTTTGTGGTATATCATCATGTATAGGAAACATGCGGCTCACGGTTAACTCTTTTTATCCGGGCTATGAGTATACTCGTAACGAGGACCAGTCCGGGCTACGGGTTTTCTCGGAACAGCGATACGGTCATGTCAAACAGCTAGCTCTGTTTGTAATTACCAAAATACGCAAATATGGCGATGCTAGCTCTGTCTGAATATTTAAATTTTCCAATGAACAGTTGTTTCTTTGTTTTTGATGGGTGTAGAAGCTTAAAAGATGTCTCGAAAACGCACGTTCACGACCGACGAAGTACTTCTTGAAGGTCGCTGGGTTGTGAGGGGGAATAAGACTAATTTGATGAAAGTGACTCCGAATCAAGTGCGGTAAATTCCGTTTGATGATAATGAACAGGAGTTGGACTCATCTGATAGCGATTCAGATCATGGTGAAAGGACCAGTACCAGAATTCGCGCAGTACCGATGGGTAGGGCTAGATCTATAAATCCAAGGGGACGTCATTGGCATGGCAAACAGGGTCAAGTTGGAGGGTGGAATACACCACAGAATCTACATGGTACTATTGCTGTAATTCCTAACCACAAACATTTTCAAAAACTACATTCAATTTCTAACATAACCGCCAAATTTTCTTAAAATCTAAGGGTAAATGTAAGAAATACAGCACTTTGAAATCTACACCCTGAATTCCAACTCATATGGCACGGCGGCCTCAGGATGGGTGCTGAGTCTGTGGGGGTATGGCCAGGATAAACAGAGTTGAGTATGTGGGTGGTTGGTGGGTGCTCTGGTGTGGTTAGCTCCTTCTTTCCTATCAAACATCTATCGTCCTGATCTCCCCTCTGTCTTTTTTGTGTTTGTTACTCTCTTGTAACACGTCTAATCTTCGGCACTTATATGACCTTATTGTGTTGCAAGTGCCATAAAACTCTTACTAACACTGTGCCAAAGTGGTAACGCCGGTCGCCATTTCATGGGTAAAAGGTTGCCGGCTGTGGCCGGAAATTCCTGCAAGAAAAAGCCAGTCAGCATCATGGTTTTCGCAGCCAGCGACGGCTGTCCTTGACTGGACTAATGTCGATCTTGTGAAGCATGGTTTTTTTTGGTTTACCTGACAACTGTTTTTAAAAAGTCTGACCATTTAACTCCACTGCTTGAGTTTGAGCATAAATCGACAGTACAGAGGTGATTCTCTTTTCAGGCAAAGCCCCTTGAGATGCTATGAGTCTGAATGTTTTCTGGCAAAATGGTAGTGACCAATTTTTACCCATGCACTGTTTTCAGATCACGGTGATGGGTCAGTCCCAGTGTCTGAGCGGTTTCATCGGGCTGGACGTCCCGCCGCCCGCCGGGCCCCTGTGGATCCTGGGAGACGTGTTCATCGGGCCGTACTACACCGAGTTTGACATGGCCAACGCTCGGGTGGGGTTCGCTCCGACCAAAGCCGCCGGGAACAGGAAGTCAGCTCCGAATGGCGATGTCGTGGACAACACCCTGCGGTATTTGGGCTTCAGGGAAAGCAGGAAGGACGTCTTTCGAATGAATGTTGGGGAGTGAGCGGAGGCTTATAGTGTGCAGCTCAGAGGAAGCTAGTCCTTGAGGCTTTACCATAGCGAACGAGAAAGAAGGTCTGGTGGTCCGAATGAGTTTCTCGCTAGCTTTTTACTTTTTTTTCCATACATGTTTTCGTGGGTCTGAGGGGAGGCTGTAGTGATATACAAATTTTTAAAGGTAAAATTGCTTTCACTTATGGCACCTTTATTTTGTTTCACTGATAGAGTTAAAAGTTTACTTTTGGGCTTTTTCTATTAAACTTTTTCGTTTTTATTTCACGCCGGTAGTTTTTTTTTTTTAATGAGATACTCAGGTGGAGTCTTGAAGGTCTATGGTTTGAGCCCACATAGTTGCAATAATTGGAAGGTTTTGATTAAATGATGAGCACTATATAAAGCTTTATTTTTTCCCGCTAGTTTCCCTGAATGAGCGTTGTGTGTTAATGAAGCATCACCAAAAGGGGCCGAGACTGGCTTCAGTTTGTTTACTCTTCAGTATTTCACTTGATCAGAATGTCAAATCCTTCAAAAAGTTTTGAATTGTTTGGCACGCAAAGATTGTGCAATACTTCTTTCAATAAAAAATCTGGGGTAACAATACAGGCTGTTAGCCGGTACTGCGTTGCCAAAACTTGTGCTGGTGAGTTGTCTTTCACTTTTCGCTCGGCCGGGGGGACCAAGATTGTCGGCTGCCAGAGTTTGTAGGTCTTTTAGCTTTTAGTGTGACGTGACTCATGCCTCCCCGTGTCTGTGTCGAGATATGGCAGTGTGTCTGAGAGTGGTCGAAAGTACAGTAAAAAGTACGATAGTGGACGCTTGTGACTTGTGTCTAAATTTCCAGCAGGAGAATTTGTTGCGTGGGACATTCCCGGGACCTTCTTGTGTTTCGCTGTTTCTTCTTAATAATCTTAAGCCTTTTTATGTGTGTGTGTGTGTGTGTCTGACAGCTTTCTGTGTACGGAGCTTTATGTTGGAACTTTGCAGATATAATATTATATAATACTATCATGATATACTCTAGTAGCCTCTTCAGAAATGATAGATTAGAAACTAACATTATTTAGTAATAAGTAAGTGGTATAAGAATTGTTTGAAGACGCTGGGTGTTTTTTTTAGTGTTTGCGAGTCTGAGAGTGGTCAAAAGTAGTGGACACTTGTGTTGTTTTTTTCTCGAGGAGCATAAACTTATTTTCTTATTTTCCCCCATTTTGATTCTCAGAAAAGGAAAAAGAGTTTGTGTTGAAAGAGAAGAGTTTCTATTCCTGGCTCTTGTTTCATGTTGCCACAGCGCTGTTTCTTTCCCCACGCTTTTCTCACCTCAAAGCAGCTGATGTGAATTTTTTTTTTTTTAGTTTATTTTTGTTTAAAATTTATCTGTGCGTTATGTTTTTTGTCTTATCAATTTCATTATCCCCATCTTTTTGTCTGGGGTTTTTGGGGGGGGGGTTTGTGTGTTTGAAGGGCTTTTTGGGGGGGGGGGGGGGTTTAGCGGGGATGGGGAAGGTCTGTGGACAGCTGTTACTGCGTGTTTCGCCCTCATACTGATCTGTCTTAGGTTCAGTTTCCGTCAGGTGGGACAGGGAAATCGGGGTGAGAAATATCACAATCTTCATTTACAAATGGACTTTTTCTCTTGAACTTTTAGATTTTTATGTGAAATATTTTTAGAATGTGTTTTGTATGATTTTTTCTTTTTTACATTTGTTACTTTCTCTGTTCATTGATCTTTGATCTTCTGTTCAATAGATTCTGAATTTAATTGAAATCTCATGAAATGTTAGGAGGGGGGTGGCTGGGTTTTTAAAGTTGTCATAGCCATTTTGCCCAGGCTGTTTTCCCTTCGTTGTTTCTGTTTCCATTTCGAAATTTTCTCAAGTTTTCTAAATGATGTTAACCATTTTTTTGTGATGGTTGACCAATTTGTTCTGCCATAGATCTGTGCTTTCATCTCGCTGGCCTGCTTGTATTGCTGGTGTGCACATTTGATTAAACTCAGCAATGCCAGCTCTTAAATGTTTTGAGGTTCCTCAAGGCTCTTAACTTTTTTTCGTTTGATGTTTTGTATTTGTTCCTTTTGTTGTTTGGTTTTGATGTGTTGTTGGCCTGTTTGTTATTTGATGTGCTTGTTGTACAATTATTCTTATAGTATTAAAAAGATTTTGTCACCTCATTATAGGTTTTGGATCTTTGTTCTCTTCTCTGTTGTTGTTGATTGGGTTGTGGGTTTATTAATTAATTAATTAATTTTTTTAATTGGGTTGTGTTTATTAATTAATTTTTTTCTTGTTGGGTTGTGTGTTTATTAGTTGTTGTTTTTTATTGGGATGTGTGTTTATTAGTTTGTTTTTTTAATTGGGTCATGTGTTTATTAGTTGTTTTTTATTGGGTTGTGTGTTTATTAATTTATTTTTTAAATTGGGTTGTGTGTTTATTAGTTATTGTCTTTTATTGGGTTGTGTGTTTATTAATTATTAGTTAATTTTTTTTTATTGGGTTGTGTTTATTAATTAATTTTTTTATAGGGTTTGTGTATTAATTTATTTTTAAAATTGGGTCGTGTGTTTATTAAAAATTAGTTGTTGTTTTTTTATTGGGTTGTGTGTTTATTAATATTTGTTTTTAATTTAAGATTACCACTTACTTGGTGGGTGGTTGGCGGGTGCTCTGGTGTGGTTTGCTCCTTCTTTCCTATCAAACATCTATCGTCCTTATCTCCCCTTTTTCTTTTTTTTATGTTTGTAACACGTCTAATCTTCTGGCGCTCATATGACCTTATGCAGTTGCAAGCGCTGTAAAACCTCTACTAAAACAAAACAAACCACTTACTTGTATTGATTGGTTTGGGGGAAATGTGGGTTGCAGTGGTAAGCAAAATACATACACAAGCAATATTTAGAGGGTGTGGGTGGTTGGAGGGTGCTCTAGTGTGGTTTGCTCCTTTTTTTCTATTAAACATCGGTCGTCCTTATCTCTTCTCTTTCTTTTTTGTGTTTGTTACTCTCTTGCAACACCTCTAATCTTCGGCACTTATATGACCTTATTGTGTTGCAAGTGCTGTAAAACTTACCAAACAAAGGGTATGTCAGCGTCTTGTATTGGTAATAGTAGTAATACCAACACGATATCATAAGCAGCTTTGGTTTTACAAACATAGTTGCTTTTCTTAGACCTTCATATTTTTCTCAAAGACACCTTGCGACCACCCACCTAAACACTGTAATGCTCCACAACGTTACACTTTACGTACTCGTATTTACAATGTCCTGACCATCTGCGCTGGGATTCTGACCATTATTTTGTCAATGTGCTTCTCATTACTCAAACAAAGGAACAAAGCTGGGATTCGAACCGACTACCTTTTGCTTGCTACTTCCACACCCCTGTTCTTGGGCCAGGCCAAAGGCATATCCCCCGGCAATGCTACTGACTGAAGTGTCTTTAGGCCATTTTCCAAAGGGGGATAATAACATGTTCTTATGCATAGTAGAATTGTAATAAATGGGCTGATTTATCAATGTCATGCTCATACTGTGCCGGAACAACATAGGGGGAACTGCTGCTTTTTCTTTCCTAATCCTTCTATCATCATTTTCCCTCTACTTCTTTTGTATGTTTGTCACACTCTTGCAAACTGCTATTTCCGGGGTGCCTTGACAATCGAAGCAGACTTTGTTCTGTTGAGGCTCGGGAGGTTCGCCCCTTGGTGCTCGTATGACCAGGGATGCCAAATGTCAGGTTTTTCAGGGGGTTTTTGTGGGTTTTTTCTAAAGTAATTTGGCATCCCTGACTGAATAAGAAGGCCACTGACATAAGGTCCTTCTTCTCAAGACAGATAGAATATTACTGGAGAGATGTCTTTGTTTGCTCATTGAAAAACTTTACAAGGTTTGTTTTATGTGAGATGTGATGGTCAAATCTTGCTAAATTATGCGGGGTGCGTTCTTTTTCTTGAAATGATTTTTCCCAAACCCTCAAATTTGTATGAAATAACATTGTTTTGATAAATGTATGGTTTTTATTTTAGCTTTCTAGGGTTAAACAGTACGGTATACACATGTAATGATAATGGGTGTCTCGAAATAAATGGTCTTCTGTCGCGATCTCGCGGAAAATTCCTCCTTTTTTTTTTTTACCCTATCCGTATGCCCTGGGGTCATTTTGTACCCCCGGGGTTGTGTTCTTCACATTTTAGAATACTTCTAGTACGAAGACCTCTTTGAAACTTTCAGTATTTCTCAAAAAAATCATTTTGACAGACTGCTATGCAAAGCGTACGGATCGGATTAACGAGTAAATGTCCTCTTTGGAAAGTGGTGGCACAGAGTTCCCCACGTCGTATTCATACGATAGTAAAACTCGACGTACGGATAGGGTTAAATGGTGGCACAGAATTCCCCACGTCGTATGGATACAATAGTAAAGCTCGACGTACGGATAGGGTTAAGTGGTGGCACAGAGTTCCCCACGTCGTATGGATACGATAGTAAAACACGACGTACGGATAGGGTTAAGTGGGGGCAAAGAGTTCCCCACGTCGTATGGACACAATAATAAAACACGGCGTACGGATAGGTTTAGATCTAGGTGGTGGCACAGAGTTCCCCTCGTCGTATGGATACGATAGTAAAACAGGACGTGCGGATAGGGTTAAGTGGTGGCACAGAGTTCCCCACGTCACATGGTTACTATAGTAAAACAGGACGTGCGGATAGGGTTAAGTGGTGGCACAGAGTTCCCCACGTCACATGGGTACGATAGTAAAACAGGACGTGCGGATAGGGTTAAGTGGTGGCACAGAGTTCCCCACGTCGTATGGATATGATGGTAAAACACGACGTACGGATAGGGTTAAGTGGTGGCACAGAGTTCCCCGCGTCGTGTGGATACGATAGTAAAACATGACGTGCGGATAGGGTTAAGTGGTGGCACAGAGTTCCCCGCGTCGTGTGGATACGATAGTAAAACACGACGTGCGGATAGGGTTAACAAGACTATGACTCATCGGTTCCAATAATACATGTGCCGTGGGAGGTTGATGATATCCCCAGCTGTTTCTTGAAAAGAAATTGTTGGCCTAAGAGAGAATAAACTCTACCTGCATCAGACTTTTCCCCCTTTATGTTCTGCACAGAACGATCAACAAGCCTTTTTTTACCTCGCCGAGAAATAACCCAGTGCTTCCAATACTTTGAGAAAACCAGGTATATCCAAACCCCAGGGAAAATAATACATGTAGATTTTTAACTTCAGTAGCCCAGTTGCCTCTGCCAAATTGGCAGGAACGATATAAACAATTGTATGTAACCTTTCTTAATTGGACATCTGCCATTTTTTACTTAGTAAATAAGTCGGCACCAGAATTTAATGTAATATTTCTTTGCACATTTGCCAATTTCTAAGTAAATAAGTCTGCACCAGAATGTAATGACACTCTGCATGTGCCGGTACATGTAATCAGAACATACATTGGTTCTTCCCACTTCTCTCAGAACTAAACACTGGGGTGTAGCTAGCTTGGCCAAGACCCAGACAGGATTTCCAGAATTTTACATGAATAATAATACAATCGATCCCGTCCAAATTTCAGACAAGCAGCATTGGTTTAATACGTATTATATTTCCAAAATAACTTTCGCTTTTTCGAAATTTAATTCTTTGAGTGAACTGACTCAAAAGTCTTCTTATTTGAGAAACAATCGTTGAGCTTTAAGCGGGGTGCCCACTACGGCTGGGATCGGCCGATCGCCCGACTCGATCGCCTCAAAAACAATCGTGTTTGTTTTCAGTTTCAGGCGATCGAGTCGGGCGATCGGGCCGATCAGCCGATCCCGTCCGTAGTGGGCACCCCGTAGTACTACAAGCTTGATCTTCTAGCGTTCGTCTCCAGCACAGACGCGAAGGAAATAAAACGCCGTAATAAGTAACCATAATTAGGTTAATTACTGTCTCTAAGTGAAGTCTAAGATCTTACCCTCCCTATACCATCTCAGATTTTTTTCGTGAAGAGGAAGGCTAAGGAGGAGGAGACGTTTGCTAGAAGAAGAAGAAGAAAAGGGGGGAAGAGGAGAAGAAGTTTGCTAGAAGAGGAAAAGAAGTTTGCTGGAGGAGGAGAAAAAGTTTGTTGGAAAAGGAGGAAAAAGGAGGAGAGGAGGAGGAGAAGTTTACTGGAAAAAGAATAAAGAGGAAGAGGAGTTTGCTTGAAGAAGAAGAATAAAGAGGAGGAGAAGTTTGCTTGAAGAAGGAAGAGTAAAGAGGAGAAGAAGAAGAAGTACATGTAGTGAACAGGAAGAGAAAGATTAAGAAGGAAGAAGAGAAGTGTGGTGGAAAAGGAGGAATAAGGAGGAGAAGAAGAAGAAGAAGTACATGTTGTTAGCCGAAGGAGGAAGAATAAGGAGAAGTACATCATGTAGTTTGCTAAAGGAGGACTGGGATATATTGAAAGGTTTACCACCCACCCACGTCCCTGGGCTGGCATGAAGCATCAAGGCACACACAAGATGAAACACACACAAACAAGCAGGGAAATGAGGAGAGGAATTGCTCATCAACTTTTTGCTACCAGTATCTCCTCTCCCCCC